CATTGCAATTATATAACAGTGGTAGCAACAATGATCAGCAGAATCATATTATAGTCCAATGACGTCACAGTCATGCACATATAAACTCATCAATCCAATATCTTGGGCTAAATCTGAGACTTTGGTGCTAGTCTAGAGAATACTATCCTGGTATCGACACATGACATGATGTTCAGCTTCCAAATCAATAAAGTTCTTATAAGTCTAGAAATCACACACTATTCTGCTTGTATATGGGGGGGGGGGGGGAGGAGGATTCTCTCCTGCTCTCCTTGTCAGAGCTTACATCTGAAAAATTATTGTTAATCAAGGGGAAAATAAATTTCCAAAACTGTACCATAGAACACCAGCTTCCTAAGACTTTGGGAGAAGTCCAGGCAATGCAAAGTTCATTCAAAATCCCCAGATGTTATTTCAAATATTCATTACTAGAGGATTTACCCAGAGTTACTCTGAACTAATTGTTGTTTTTCTTCACTGAAATCATGGTTCTGGGGTGGGGCAGGGGAGGAGGGTTCCGGATGCAGGCTGCCCTGGAGAGAGAGGACGACCTCAGCTCTCTGTCACCTCAACAGCTTGGGGCCAGTGAGAAGTGCCTCTCCATGGCTGCTGCAGCCGGCACAGCTGGGGGAGGGGAGTGTGTCCCGTAGCTGGGGGACAGACAAACACACAGACAGACACACAAACTGGCTCAAATATAGTGTAGATAGCTGTCACTTTCTCCACCTCTGCCCCCTGCTGGCCCAGTGGGGTTATAGCTGTCCTGGATCCCATCTCTGGCTCCATGCTTCCCCCCTGTGGTCACTCTAGAGTATAACTTTCCATGTTGGCAGACCCCGCCCTTTCCATTTGATGAGAAACAATCCCAGTCCAGGCACATCCCATTGTCCTGGCACAACCAAACCCTGGCCTTGCTTTAAATTATAGTAAGAGGAAACTGCCTACCTAATTTGGTGGTCCTAGCTCTTATTGTTTAGGAGGAATTCTTGAACAAACAAACCCACAGACAGACAGACAGACACACAAATTCTCCCAAATGTATAGTAGATTCTTATTTCTTTTGCTTTATAAATATTTTAAATGCTCGTTTCACCCTGCAGATATAAAAAATGACATAACACAGCCCCCAAACCAATCCAGCAAATAGCATCCACTACATGCAACAAATTAACCCTCTGATCAACTAACAGAATACATTGTATTCCCCAAAAATACCAAGTGTACCAACCCAATGCTGATAAACCAACATAATGATAAACTCTGTGACAAATAAGCAGAGTGTCCACACTACCAAGCCCGTTATTTCGAAATAACAAACTAGTTATTTCAAAATCTGTACTTCTTTTCACAGGGAATAACTAATAGCTAGTTTTGAAACAGTTACAGTATTTCTAAATAGTGTAATTGAAAAAAAGGCAGGGACACAGAGAGGGGAGTGTGACATTGGTGCTAATTAAATCAGAGTGGATGTGGCTCACCTCAAACAGTGATGAGAAGGGGAGAGTACCTGAATTAACTATTGTAATGTGAGAGCCACTCCATGGTTCTATTTAAGCCTGGTTTCAGGATGTCAAATTTGCATTTGAATTCCAGTTCAGCACTTTCTCCCTGTTCTTGAAGGGTTTTTTGTTGTTGTTGTTGTCGTTGTTGTTTTTTGCGTGAGGATGTCACACCTTTGCCTCACTGAATTCAGCAGAGACCCATGTAAGCGCCAAGGTCTGACTGTGTGGATCTGATCCCGGGATGTACAGCTATCCATTCGCTCACCACTGAGATACAGGAACAGCTGAGGAGGAACTCGGCAGCAACTTAACAGTAGCACTAAAGCACAGTTTAGGAAGGTTAGTGGAGAGAAAAATTTTAGGTATGTCAGGATGCAATTACCTAGACCAGACTTTGCCCCAGAAAGCAATGCATTTACACTGGTGTCAAACTGGAGCAACTGGTGAATTAGGCCCTTTCTGTTTATTTCCATTTAGTCCATTTCAATGTGCTATTTCAGTGTGTTTTCCCTAGGATACCATCACTGCTGGCATTCCTTCTAGGAGTCAGTTCACAACAGAAAGTGCAGCACTGGGGCTATTTACACACAAATATAATGTAAATCCAAAAAGACCCAAGCAGGATTACAGCCAGAGAGATCATCTGACAATAATGTCTAGCTCTCATCCAGTGTTTTTCATCAGTAGATCGCAAAGAACTTTACAAAGCATGTTACGATCATTATACCCATTTCACACAGAGGAAAACTGAGGCCAAGCCATTATGTGATTTGCCCAAGACCACCCAGCAGGTCAATAGCAGAGCCAAAAGCAGAACCCAGCTCTAGGGAGTCCCAGACCACTGAGCTATCCACCAGTTCACTGGCAAATACTAGAACAGTAGGAACAATGCATAGGAATTTTGCAAACAAGCCCCTGCCAAGAATGCTCTGAAAATACTGGCCCCAGTGAAGTCAGGGGGAGTTTTGTCATTGACTCCAGTGGGTTTAGAATTTCATCCTTGAACTTTAATTCTAATAAGGAGACTCAGCACTGACTTTACTGGTCACCAAATTTTTACCAATCAAGCATTCCTGTATTTTTATTTCCTTAGCAGGGATGATTTTCCTTTTCTTTTCACCCCTTGTCATGTTGCTGTAGAGCTGCTGATGGGACCTAAAGCTTTTCAGATAACTTTATTCAAATCAACACATCATTTTGTGAGACAAACTTTCCTCTCTGAGGTGCAAATTAGAAACCACACAACACTTGCTTTTTGGTGATCTAAAATCTCTGGACTGACATCTCAGGCAACATTTTGCAACTTGTAATAATACTGCACGTTTCTATAGGTCTTTTCTCACCCTTGAAACTCTAACCCTTTATAAAGGGAGCATTATTCTCAATGTACAGTACAAGTGTGGAAATGGTGACCCAGAAGAGGTACTGTTACTCAGCTCCATTCACTCTGCCCTGGTCTACATTTAGACTTTATTTCAAAATAATCCCCCTTAGGTTGAGTTTGTAAACAGAGCGTCCACCAGACCACGCCCGTTATTTCAAAATAACGGGCTGCGGAATTCGAAATCTGTGCTCCTGCTCTCCATCAGGAATACCACTAAGTCCGAAATGATTAGTTCGAGATAGCGGCTGTGTGGACACTCCGGGGCCGCTATTTCAAAATAATTCGAACTAATTACTCCCCAGTGCTTCCTGGGGCTCTGAGTCCAAGGTAGTGCATCCACATTCACGGCGCCTGCCTCGGACTCATTTCGATACTTCCCCATAGTAAGGACAGGCTAGTTCGAATTTGTTAGATTGGGAGTTAAGTCGAATTTAATAATTTTGAAATAGTTTCCTAGTGTGGACATGGCCTCTGTGACAGTGCAAGCGTCCTGTCTCCCAGGTCTGTGCTCTGCTGACAGGCCCACATCATGATAACATGGTGGGATTCTTTTTGTACTTTCTTATGTGAGGACAAAACCCCAAAAGCAAAAGGGGAACATGCTGCCTGGCACCTGCAATCGGAAAACACAAAGGTTTAAATTAATTATTATTATTGCCCACAGTTCTGAATGGCGGGAGGTGCCTTTTTCCAGCTGACACAGCATAAAATCCTCCCTCGGTTGCACTCACCACCCCTCAATGCCTGCCTTTGCTTGTATTGCAGAGGGTGCCCAGACGCGCTCCTTGGGCTCCAGATGTAAGGCCTAACACAAAACCCATTGAGGCCAGTAGATTTTAGGTCCCTTATCTCGTTCCTTCTCCATTATTTCTGGAGGATTTTGTTACTTCTCTGTTTTTCTATTGCATGCTACTCCTTGAGCAGTTTCAGGCTGTCACGGGAATTGAGAGGAAAGCTGTACTAAGTAGGGAGACAGCAAAAGATTACTGCTCTCTTTCGAGAAACAGGGGTCTCCCCTTTGCCTTCACCTTTCTCGTTAAAAGGACCAGCACAGGGGTTAATCCTGCCAGGGGAAAGCTGGCTACAAAGACGCAGTTTGGCAGCTCTGTCTGTGTGTGTAAAAGACCCAGGTCATGTTCAGATCAAGTAACCTATCCTCAATTTCACACCAGCTTAGCCAACCTCGCGTCAGAATTACACATGGGTTCCGAGGTCAGGGTGTCTGGATGTCTTTGGCTGGTGCACCTTGTGAGGTCTGGCTCCTCCCCAGACCTAGCAGCATGGGGTGTAGGAACCCGGGTCGGCCTTGGCTGCCCGCAGTGCAAGCTCTGCCTGTCCCAGGCACTGCACCAGGCAGGTCCCACTGGCTAGCTGGCCCCATGCCCACATGGACATCACCCCATGGCTGCCTATGATCACAGAACCCTAGGGCTGGAAGAGACCTCCGGAGTCATCGAGTCCAGCCCCTGCCCAACCCCAACTCAATCCTCCCAAGGGCTTTGTCCAGCTGGGACTTAAACACCTCTAGGGATGGAGATTCCCCCCCAGGGAACCCAGCCCAGCGCTTCCCCACCCTCCTGGGGAAATCGTTTTTCCTAATTTCCAACCTAGATCTCCCCCGCTGCAACTGGAGCCCATTGCTCCTCATTCTGCCCCCCTGAGAACAGCCTCTCTCCAGCCTCTTTGGAGCCCCCCTGCAGGGAGTTGCAGGCTGCTCTCAAATCCCCCCTCACGCTTCTCTTCTGCAGACTCACCAAGCCCAAATCCCTCCTAAGTCCTGTCTGTGCCCCCAGCCCCCTCCTCATCCCTGTGCGATCGTGCAAACGGGCCCATAGCCGGGGCTTGGGCTTTTGCAAGCCCCCCTCCAAAAAAGCGCCCCCCTATTTCACACGTGCCACCGGCTCCCAAGCTTTGCCCCTCCCCGTAATGGGGGGGGCTGGGCATAGGGCTCCCCCTTCGCCCTACAGGCTGGGGTCGGCGCGCGGGGGCAGCAGCTGCAGCAGGCGGGGGAAGGGGCGGCTCCAGCCCTTCCCCCTCCCCAAATTTTTCTCCCCCCCCCCGCTGGGCGCAAGGTGATGACGTCGCCGTGACCTTTCAACTCCCCCGTGTGTTTTTTTGGGAGGCCGAAGATGGCCGCTCCCTGGAGCTGCTGGGGCCCGGCGCGGTGGGGGGCCCCAGCAGCAGAGCCCGGAGCGGCGAGGGGGGCAGCGGCGCCGGGCCTGGGCTGCCCGCGGGCCGCTGTGCGCAGCGCCGAGCACCCCCATGCTGGTTGAAAGCAGCGGCCCTGCACAGCGACCCAGGGCCCCCGTGCGGGGCCAGTCGCCGCCTGGCTTCCCCTGCCACTGCGCCTGGGCGCTAAGGGCAGCGCGCATCCCCCGGGGAGAGGGAAAGATCAGCCCCTCTGCCAGCTGGCTCGCGTGTGCCCGGCCAGGTCAGGTTACCTGCCTTGCGGAGCGCTGGCCCTGGCAGGCTCCGCACCAGCCTCGCTTCGCACCCAGTTTTACGCCTCTGCAGGGGCAGGTTTGTGTCCCAGCAGACGAGCCCCCCGAGGGCAGGTGGTGACCGCGGAGAGGCGGCGGCGTGTATCTTTGTTCATACACCCACCTGTGGCTTCGCCAAGTGATCTCCCCCGTGCACGAGTAAACACGAGTACCCCTGCCGGTCCTCCCCTCCTTAGGTAACACTCGGGTCTCCCTGGGAGCCCGGGCTCTGGCCGCAGACCCATGCCCAGGAGAATAACCCCGGAGCCCCCAGTCCCTCTGGTCTGCAAACCGCACTGTGCGCCTGGGAGAGGAGAAGAAAGTTGCCTCCAGTTCCCCGCAGCCCGTATCAACGAGCACATGCCAGGAGCTTCCTCCCAGCTGGGCGAGTTGCCCCTGGGTCTTTCTACTGGGCTTTACAGTCGCTAATTCGGGTTAAAAGTAACCCACCCCCAACCTCACCTCTGCCCTAGCGGGGGGCTGCCTTCAGACATGGGTCTGATTTTCTGGACACACCAGTTCTGGGCAGCCCCAGAATTTCTTCCCCTCCCCTCCTTGCTGGGGATGGTTCGCGAGCCCAGGATGACTTTGATTTCAGCACGTTGGCTGTTGTATTCACGTCACAAGTTTGACAGCTTTACACCAAATCAGAGCGCTGGGTTTGCAGGCAGCTCCGAGGCGTCAGCTCCTTTAGGTTAGAGCTCGCCTCCCCTGCCTTTCCCCCTCCAGAGCCAAGTCAAGCTCGCTGGGGCTTTCAGAGGAACCCTGCTCCCCAGCCCTGCCTCTCAAGCTGGCACTGCGATGGTAAGTCCCCCTGGCTCTCTTTCGACCAGGGACCGAGCTGGGGCTTTGCCATAGCTCTTGTGCCCTGCCGGTGGGAGATGGGGGGTGAGATCCTAGTCTGCTTGGCTTCTCCATAGCTGTGGGGGTTCTCACCCGGACCCAAGCTTTGCCTTTGCCTTGCAAAAGCCTTCCTGCTGGCTGGGTGGCTTATGTGGGGCGCAGGGGCGAAAGCCCTGCCCAGGGACCACACAGATGGGCAGAGATGTGGAACAGCCTGGAAGCGCCTCTCCCCACTTGGGATGGTTTGACGAGCCAATGACTCAGGGAGGGTCTGGCGCACCTGCTCCTTTCCGACAGCTCGGGGTCGGAAGGCTTTGCAAGCTGGGCTGCTTGAGCTGCGGGTCTGTGGTCTGAGGAAGGGCTGGGCGGCTGGACAAGGCGGGGATGGGGATGGGCATGCGGGCTTGGAGCGCAGCATCCCGCAAAGGTGGCGTCGGCTCCAGGGCTGGGTCGCCACAGGCTGCTTGGTGTTGCAAATCCGAGGCGTTGGCTGCAGCGTGGATCAGCGCCCGGCCCCCCAGCGCCAAGGGCATTTGGGGGAGGACGGAGAGACACGCCGGGCGTCGCCAGCCGGCTTGGCTGCAGGCTCTGGGCACAGCTGGGGGACTGGGGTTTGAGCGAGGGCAGAGCGCTCGCCAGGTTGGAGGAGCTGGGGGAAGATCCCGGCCGATCTCTACGCGCCTCTCTGCTGCCAGGTTGTGCACTCAGAGCCCGCGCCCCAAATCAGGCAGCGGCAGGGGGGCTGAGCCCCGGGAACCCTTCCCCAGCGAGGGGCTGGGTCGCTCAAACTCAGCGAGCTCCCGGCCAGAGTGGCTCTGCCCCGCTGTGTATCCACCTCTCTGCCTCCCCCCCAGAGTGCCCTGCTGTCCTGCCCAGACCCGGCCTTTGCAGGGGGCCCGAGCGCGGACTGTCCTTATGCCGCCTCGACGTCAGCAGCCGGGGCGGAGGTTTGCAAGGAGACTTGGGTTTCTTTCTGGGCGGCCGGGCTCCTGGACAGCCCCAGCGAGAGCGCGCAGGCAGGACCGGCTGGGGGTAAGTGCTGCTGCGCCAGGCCCCGCAGCCCCGGGGTGACTGGCCCGAAAGGTGGGGGAGGGGCTCATAACGCCGCTGGGGAGGAGGGAAAAGCCCCCCCCCCCGACGGCGGG